GGGCAGTGACATGGGGTAAGGGGGTGGAGGGGCAGTGACAGCGGGTAGAGAAGCAGTAAAGGGGTAGGGGGCAATGACAGGGGTAGGAGGTGGAGGAGCAGTGACAGGGGGTAAGGCAGCAGTGACATAGGGTAGGGGATGGAGGAGCAGTGACGGGGTAGTGGTGGTGGAGGAGCAGTGACGGGGTAGGGGGAAGTGACAGGGGGTAGAGGGGCAGTGACGGGGCAGGGGTGAGGAGCATTTAACAGGCTAGTGAGGGCAGTGACAGGGGTTGGGGGAGTGGAGCAGTGACAGGGGGGTAGAGGAACAGTTACAGAGGGTAAAGGGGGTGGAGGGCCAGTGACAGGTGGTAGAGGAGCAGTGACAGGCGGTAGAAGGATAGTGACAAGGGTTGGGGGGTGGAGGGGCAGTGACAGGAGTTGGGGGGTGGAAGGGCAGTGACAAGGGTTAGGGGGGTAGAGGGGCAGTGACAGGGGGTAGAGGGGCAGTGACATGGGTTAGGGTAGAGGGCAGTGATAGGGGTAGAGAGGTGGAGGGGCAGTGACAGGGGTTAGGGGGGTAGAGTGGCAGTGACAGGGGTTGGGGGGTAGAGGGACAGTGACAGGTGGTAGAGGAGCAGTGTATAATGTATAAATGTAAAATGTATATATACTCCCTAAAACAAAATATGCTCTGTGTATATGATAGGAATCACACACTTAAATCACTTAAAGGGACACTGTAATCACCAAAACAACTTTAGCTTAATGAAGCAGTTTTGGTGTATAGATTATGCCCTTGCAGTCTTACTGCTCAATTCGCTGCCATTTAGGAGTTAAATCACTGTTGTGTCTGTTCATGCAGCCGTAGCCACACCTGCCCTGGCTGTGACTGACACAGCCTACATCGAACAAAATGGTTTAATTTTCAATTGCATGTTAACTTGCTTCAGAAGTTTTTATCTCCTGCTCTTTGAATTGAAATTTAATAATGCACAGTAGGACCCTGCAAGGTCTAGCAAGCTATTAACAGAGCAGGAGATAAGAAATACGAAAATAAACAGAATTTGCAAGGTAGGAAGTATAAACATTAGATGCCTCTTTACAGGAAGTTCTTAGGAAGGCTGCTTAAGTCACATGTCACATGAGTGTGTGACTGGGGCTGTGTAAGAAAAGTGATTTAACTCCTAAATGGCAGGCAATTGAGCAGTGAGACTGCAGGGGTGTGGTATGTACACCAAAATTGCTTCATTAAGCTAAATTTGTGTTGGTGACTATAGTGTCCCTATATTATTCTAGTAGCCATACAGCATATTTCTCAGCAGCTCAGCACTATTTAAGTAGTTATCATCCTCTCTTACCCAGGGCCGCCTAACACAGCTGTGCCCCCAGGGGCCCGCCCCCAAGCACGCCCCAGGGCCCGCCTTCAAATCTCACCCACAGGGACCACCTCCAAATCCGCCCACAAGGAAGAAATTTTGTAGAGTGGATACTGGGTGTGTGTTTTGTGAATGCAGTGTGCGTGTATGCATATATATACACCCTGTTCCAAATTATTATGCAAAATAAATTTAAGTGTCACAAATATTTTGTTTTTCAGTTTAACTCATGGATGGCATTGTGTCTCAGGGCTCTTTTGATCACTGAAAACAATCTCGGACACCTGTGATATTAGGTTGTCAGGTGAGCCCAATTTAAGGAAAAACTGCTAAAGGAGGGTTTTCCACATTATTAAGCAGAGCACCATTTTCATATAATATGGGGAAGAAAAAGGATCTCTCTGCTGCCGAAAAGAGTTAAATAGTTCAATGCCTTGGATGAGGTATGAAAACATTAGATATTTCACAAACACTTAAGTGTGATCATCGCAATATTAAGAGATTTGTGGCTGATTCAGAGCACAGACGGGTTTGTGCAGATAAAGGCACATTGAGGAAGATTTCTGCCAGATCCATGCATCGGATCAAGAGAGCAGCTGCTAAAATACCATTACGTAGCAGCAAACAGATATTTGAAGCTGCTCGTGCCTCTGGAGTCCCGCGGACATCAAGGTGTAGAGTCCTCCAGAGTCTTGCAACTGTGCATAAACCTTCTATTCGGCCACCACTAACCAATGATCACAAGCAGAAACGGCTGCATTGGGAAGAAAAATACATGAAGACTAATTTTCAAACAGTCCTGTTCACTGATGAGTGCCGTGCAACCCTGGATGGTCCAGATGGATGGAGTAGTGGATGGTTGGTGGACATCCACCCTGTTCCAACAAGGCTGAGACGTCAGCAAGGCGGTGGTGGAGTCATGTTTTGGGCCGGAATCATGGGAAGAGAGCTGGTCGGCCCCTTTAGGGTCCCTGAAGATGTAAAGATGACCTCTGCAAAGTATGTGGAGTTTCTGACTGACCACTTTCTTCCCTGGTACAGAAGGAAGAACTATGCTTTCCGTAATAAAATCATCTTTATGCATGACAATCCACCATCTCATACTGCAAAGAATACCTCTGCATCAATGGCTGCTATGGGGATAAAAGGAGAGAAAGTCATGGTGTGGCTTCCATCCTCCCCTAACCTCAATCCTATTGAGAACCTTTGGAGCATCCTCAAGCAAAAGATCTATGAGGGTGGGAGGCAGTTTACATCCAAACAGCAGCTCTGGGAGGCTATTCTGACATCTTGCAAACAAATTCAAGCAGAAACTGTCCAAAAACTCACAAGTTCAATGGATGCAAGACTTGTGAAGCTACTATCAAATAAGGGGTCCTATGTTAAAATGTAACATGACCTGTTAAAATGTTTGAGAAGTTAAAATGTTGTTATAAGTTTGATTGAAATAGCTTTTGATTTCAGTAAATATGCTGCAAACAAAACAAATGACAATTTTCAGTTCTTTACAAGCTATAAAGTGTTTTGAAATTTAGTGTGCGTAATAATTTGGAACAGTGCATTGTAAGTTTTTATGTTTTAAAAAATACTGTTATCATTAGGAGGTTTGTTCAATAAAATTTGAATTGTACTCTTAATAGTTGATAACATGAGAATTATGCTGACTGTTAATTGCATCAATTATTTAGGTAAATGAGAAAAATATAATTTGCATAATAATTTGGAACAGGGTGTATACACAGACACTCAAATAATGACACCGCATACACACAGACACAAACACAGACACACACTGATACAAAAGGACACAGACACACACACACAAAGTTACACACATACGGACACACACACATACATACTAACAGACACACATATTGAAACATAGATAAACAAATACAGGAATACATACTGACACACAAATATTGAAATAGACATACACACATATACAGACCCACAGGCATGTATAGTGAAACACAGACACATACTAACATACATACATACAGACACACACACACACATGAATAAGGACATACATGCATACATACATACTGTAACGGCACCCCAGGCATAAAAGGGGTTAACAGCCATTTAGGAGATATTCCCTTCCAGATATACAGGCAGCTACTGTAGACACCAATCCACCGAACCAGAGAAGCATACGAATGCTCTCAAACATATGAATGCTGTAAACAGCCGAATAGGAAAAACCATACGAAAGGTTTACACTCCTAGCAGTCGAACTGGAACAGCATACAATATATCCCCCCACAAGAACGAGACAAGGCTTCGTGTTGAGGGTCAAGCAGGAACAGTCAGAGCTGTGGGTTTATTGTTCTTACATATTAGTATCACCCACAGGGTTTTGTAAAACAACCAATAAACACGTAATACACAGTAAAACACTCCCATTCATTCCAGCAGAATCCTCCTCTCTGCCTGTGATATAATTATAATAGGCTGGAAAATACACAGTTTTACACAATATTCATAACTTTAAAAGTATACATCACATTCACAGAATCAGCATACTCCAAATATAAACATACATCAAAATCATACAAATTGGTCCAGTGGGTCAAAAGTTAGTTGGAAGTCCCTTTATGACCTCCTGCAAGCATGGCTTGGGTGTGGTAAGCCAATTATCTCCAGCATAGAGAAAATAGCTCTATTCACAACAACAGTAAAAATCCACAAAAATACATAATTCCCATTACACTGAACAGAACCCCCACATTCAACCTATCCCTGGATAGCTTGGATCTGAGTGCTCAATATATCCGAACAGCGCTCAGATGCCACAAACAGAACAAAATCGCCATGGGGTTAAGTCTAGCATGGGCTGATGAGAGGGGCCATAGTCATGAGGCAGGAGGCTGGCAACCAGACTTGGCCATTGGAGGTAACTAAAAACCTCCATTTGGGATGTGGAAAGAGCGCAGGTAACTTTTTTTCTTTGGTTTTTACTATATGTATTTTGGCTGATGTGTACTATGGTCATTGCTCCCACCCAGGAGTAATGGGAGTTTGAGAGCAGGACTTGTTCCTTTGTCACTGAATATATAGGGCCTATCGGGAGGCCCTAAATGATGGAGCCACCTAGTGGGCCATATCAGAGTGTGGGTCCCGGTGCAGCTGCACCGGCAGCAGTTCCGCTGCTACACATGGGGCCCAGCGGGCCCGTGAAAATCGTCATGGTTGTCACCCCCTAATGGTGGCCCTGCTCTTACCTATAACCTATAAACAGGGGAAAAGCTAATGAACTGCGTGAGGGGCTGGCAATTTATTTTTACATTTCCCTTCTGCACTGAGAAATAAAGTATGATTTTGGGGGCCTATGTGTGTTCAGTGAACTGTCCAAAACACGTAACATATCCAGTTACATTTTCAGTAGATGTAATTTTCAATTTTTTTTATATTTTTATTATTCCTTATTGGGTTCTTTTATATTTTGCCACCTGAGCTAGAAGTTGAATTCCTTATTTTTTTTTGCTTCAATAAATAACTTGATGTTCATGCAGCTTACACAAAATATGCTTTAACCGTTAAATGTCATATTTTGAATATATTCATTAACAAAGTACACATTACATTTACAGAGTGCAGTAGATATCACTAATGTTTCAAATCAGAGCCCATATCACGGTGATAGCTCACCGGCTACAGGTTTTTTGGGTGAGACATCGGGGATATCTGAATGATGTCTGTTTTATTGCTGTTCCTGTGATTTATGCTGAAATCTCCTCTATGCTTTACTTGTCCAATATGAATTTTACATTAAATCATGTTTATGTTGCAAAACACCAGTGGTCTTGTTTCATTTGGAAGCAATTTTATGGTTTGGTACAGGAATGTCTCAAAGCAACATTAATCCTAACACAGTTGTTAAATCCCAAAAATGTAATTAACAGTAATTTTGTCTACCTGTTGTTTTTCTGGTCCTCTAGAGAAAAAAGTATAGAACATTTTATATTTCTCATGCAAACATATAAGTGTGGTGTTATTATTGACATTTGTATAGCTCCAACTCATCCTGCAGCTCATTACAGTGTTATAAAGGAAGATGTTTAACAGCAAATGAGACAAACATGAATATTTTGACTTGGAAGATAGATAGATTTATGAGAACTAGGGATTTGCATGGGCAAAAAATTTGGTTCGGTTCGGCACTTCCGAAAATCGAGACTTCGGCAATTCGAGACTTCGGGAATTCGGCACTTTGGTTCAGCACTTCCGAAATTCGACAATTCGGTACTTCGGCACTTTGGTTTGGATCAGCACTTCTGAAATTTGGGACTTCAGCATTTCGAGAATTCGTTAATTTGAGAATTCGGCACTTCGGCAATTCCCTAACCCTACCCCTAACCCTGCCACTAACACTACCCCTAGCCCTACCCCTATCATTAAATTCAGCACCAACAAGTCCACAGCCACTAGAGTCACTTCCACTGCACTGACTAGGCAAAACCCAGTAAAACCTAGTCAAATGACATGAAAGCATCGATTCAATGGTTTCCTATAGGGGATGTTGAATAAGTTTGCGGTACTATATGAGGAACACTGAATTGGACATTGGCTAAGAAAACAAGATAATGACAATGCGGGAAGCAGAGAAATAACCAGCACTGAGGAAACCTTGACACTGAAAAAAAGTGAATAATTCTTATTTTTTATTTTTATTGCATCAGAGGGGAAGCTGAAAAATACAGGGACACTACAACATTATTAATAAAATTCTGCATTATTGTATTCCTTTAAGTATGAGTCTGAAAAATCTCCTTGATCCTTGATAGTCCTGCAACTTTAGATCAACTTTATCTCAGATACTGTATGTGTGATGGGGGAAAGGGTAGCTGTAACTCCTAACTCTTAATTTTAGGCAACATGGATTAAACACTGTCTTTTGGTTATTGGCACGTTAGGGGTTACTTTGTTGGTCTGTTTTCTATCCTGTCTACTCATTTAGCAGGACTCCTACGAAGATCTGTTCATTTTATAATACAATCCACCAATGATTGCTTCTTATTAATATTTACTCACACTCACAATTTACAATGATTACAGTACACAATAATGCATAATTAACTTAATCATTTTCATTTCTTTCCAATGAGATGGTATTCACAAATTCACTACTAGAGTATTTGAGAGAGTAAGACAGAGAACATTTAAGTAATAAATAATACAATTAATCCCGAACGGTGCAAGAAGTGTACTCAAAGTATGCTTTTTCTTCTACCAAACTTTCAGCAAATTGTGAAATGGCCATCTGCAAGGTATGAAAATAAGTGACATTTAATCATCCCATTGAATAATTTCTCCAGCAAATTTTGTGCACTTTAATTTCATGGCAATCCATTCTCTTATAGCCCCTGATAACCTGGCTACATTGATGCTCATATGCACTTGTCCGAAAAGGTATTTTTGACCCATAGTTTTTGTATGCAGCGTGCTCAGAAAAGTAACTTTTTGTGTGAGCATAAATTAGTCAAACATACTTTCTTTCGTGGGAATTCTAAAACTTACCTCCCTACTGAATTCTGACGTTAATCTTTTTTGGCAGAGGTTTGCTAATGAGATACCTAAGTCTCTATCTGCTAAAGAATTTTGATGTTTTTTTTAACGTTATGAAGTTATAAGGAAATTAGCCTGTTCTTGTTGTCATAGGTGTGGAACTAATTAATGAGCACTAATAAAATCATACATTCCATGATGTATCATGTTTTTGTGAGAAGTTAAACAAAGGGTAACTTTCTACAAACAACGAAGAGTCCAAAGTTCTTGCAAAAGATAATTTATTAACTTAATTTGTTGTGGTTAAATCAATACCTGGCACGCAGACAGCCATGTTATATTAAACAAAGCTCACCTTCAAAAATATAATCAATATAGTACTCAAATGATTATTTTCATTAGCAAAATTAGATTTGGCCTGTTTGATGACAAATACAACTTGTGATAAAATTCTTACAAAATTAACATTGCTCAATGCTGGCATTGTTCTCTGAGCAAAGTCCGTATAAAACTAGTTATTATAGTAACTTGTTGTCTCTAATATATGTGAAGCAGTTAGAATTCTTAACCATATAATAAAACAGCAACCGTGTTTAAAATGAAATCATGTGTGATATAGAACATTGAAACTAGTACACAAGTCCACGATAACTTAAAACAATTTAGAAGGCAAGTAATTAAATTATTACCAATATGCTGTGTTTTAATCTTTTCAGATACTATTGTTTATCAAAATATAGCAGTGTGTTGTTTTTATTTTTCAAGCTGTGGCCTGTGTTAAAGTAAGTGCTCTTAAAATGGTT